TATAACTATGTCTGATAGGATAGAGGGGGTGGGCGCATGTTTCATAGCGAAAGAAGAGACAGTTGAGTTACACCCTGAAGGCTTTTTGGCATGTTCTTGGGTGGAATAGAGAAGGAAGGGCCGTAGGGAAGCCTGTATGTGCAAAGTCACAAGCTGGAAGCAGCATTGTGTGTGTAGGCAGTGTGTGCCCCAGAGTGGGAGGTCAGCTGGTGGTGGTAGAGGAGGTAGGGGAATAAATATGAGCAAGGCTTATTTGCTGACCTGAAGAGTTTGGTCTTTAGTCTATGCCAACCATGGAAGGTTTGGTGGGGGGCAGTCACAAAATTCAATCTGCATTTTAGAAAGATGACAGAATTTGCTGATTGGATCTCAGTGGCAGGCACCGGAAGTTCTTCGTGGATGTAGGAAGGCAATGCTCCCTCAGGTTCTTGTCCAGACTTGGGGACAGGCCAGTAGCACTGAACCACCTTGGGCATTGCCATTTTCTGAGCCCAGGTCCTTAGGACTGGTGAAGTAGCGCCACCTACTGGTGTGTCCCTTACCTGGATGTCCCAGGCTCCTTTCTGGTCTCTGAGGAGGACAGGTGAACTCCAGGGGCCCCAGAATGATGGACAAAATTAAACCTTCTTTGGGGTGAACTCTTCCTTTTGGTGCAGGGACCAAGATCAGTACACATATAGGAAGGAAAAGTGCCTCCCTACCCCAATACTGAATGAACGCACAGTAATAGTCCTAGGCTTTGGAACCAATTCTGCCTGGGTCAGATGTAGTTCCTTCTAGCCATGTGACTTTGAAGTTACCATCTCTATGCCTCAATTTCCTTATCTGTAAATTCGGGTTATGTTGTTATTGTTAAGTACTGTTGAGTTGGTTCCGACTCATAGCGAACCTGTAGGAGGGTTTGCAAGTGAGTTTGAGCTGCCAACCATGCGGCTCAAATGGATCTTGTGGTCAAGTGCTTATCCTATACCAGGACTCCAGGGTAGTTGTAAACATATGTAAACCACTTAGAACACCAGAAGTTCTTAAAGTGAAGCTGTCATCATTGAAGAGAGAAAGCCTGAGACATCTGGAGGGTTTACGGACTGAAGTGTGATGGTGAAGAACAGTGGTCAGAGGGGCTATGCCGGCTGGAGCAGAGCAGTGCATTCTACTAAGAGCTCTACTTCTCCTGGTGTGATGCTGGGAGGAAAGAAGCCAGTTCTGCATTTGCAAATCCAGCCCCTGGCACAAGTGCCCTCCAGGTGAACCAGCTTGCTTGGCCGTCATGGCATTCTTATTGTCCAGACCGGAAAATGGGATCCGAGAGGCTAAGTAATGTGTGCAAGTTCCTGGTGAAACTGGAAAGAATCCAAAGTCCAGAGCTGTGTACCTATGTTTAACCCCTTGTGCTGAGATTATGGAGAGACACTGGACAGGATGCAATCAGAAAGCAAGCTGACCCTTTCCCTGCCTTCAAAGTGGACTCTGGTGGACTCTATAGCTCTTTCTTATCTTAGATGACATTTTTATTTCAAGAATTAGTTTAAAAACTGCCATTGCAAAAAACATATAAATAAAAGTTTCTCCCCTGTCCCAGGTTGGCCTGTTTCAGGCTGGGAAATCCGAAACAGGAAGAGGGTGGTGGCCCCTTCTCTCTTTCTTACTCTTTACTCCTCCCTTGCCGGTGGCTGTGAGTCAGAATCCACTCTCCAGCAACTGCTTTGAGGGGTTTTTTGTTTGTTTGCTTCAGAGAGAAGGTGGTTCAAACTTGAAAAGAGTATGTGATAGTGTTGTATACGTTTAGCTCATTTATTCAGTTTCTATACTCAACAAATAATCTTAGAAGCTGGACATTATGAAGAAGAACACAGAATCAGGTTTGGAGGAAGACTCATTAACAACCTGTGCTATGCAGATGACACGACCTTGCTTGCTGAAAAGGAAGATGATTTGAAACACTTACTGATGAAGGTCAAAGACTATAGTCTTCAGTATGGATTACACCTGCGCATGAAGGAAACAGATATCTTCACAACTCAGCAATAAACAACACAGTCTTTTCAATCACTTCATATGCGTGCAAAAGCTGGACCATGTAACAGGAGGACAAAGGGAGAACTGATGCATTTGAACTGTGATGTTGATGGAGAGTAGTGACTATACCATGGGTCTACCAGAAGAATGGACAAATCAGTGTGACAAGAAACACAACCAGAATGTTCCTTAGGAAAGAAGATGGTGAAACTTTGGCTTACTTGTTTTGGACAGTCATCAAGAAAAACCAATGGCTAGAAGAGGACATCATGGTTGGTGACGTAGAGGGTCAGCAGAAACAGGGAAAGCCATCAAGGAGATGAATTGGCACAGTTGCCTTCACAATGGCTCAACAAACCAGTGAGGGAGGAGCAGACAATAGTCCATTCTGTTTTATGTAAGGTGGGGCAGCCTTCACACAAAGTGAAACTGTCAAGTCTCACAAAAGTTAGAGGAGAGGAGGATGGAGTAGGATGTTTCAAATCCCAACTAACAATATCAGCATAGAAAGAGACCCAAAGAAAGGCAAGCAGTAAGGGAGGGCCTTGAATGCATGTGGAGTGTGCTGTGAAATCTCCCAGGCGTAGAGCCAAGGACTTCTTCCTCGTGGGCTGCCTGCTTCTGATCTCCCCCTCAGCCTTGACCTCTAACGTCCAGGGAATTCTCCTTGGGGTGTGGGTCACTTCACCTCCAGGTGGCCCTCTTGGGCAAAGTCCTGTGGAGACTGCTGTGCCCAAACCTGAGGGGAGTCATTCATTCACACTTGTCACAGCTTGTTCCCTTCCAGCACGAGGCAGAGTCCCACCCCTGAGCCCTTCAAATGCCAGGAACTATGTCATGATCGCCCTCTCTGGGGTTCTCTTGAGCTTGGGATGGGGAACATCTTCCCCTCTCTTCCCCTCCTCCAAGTTTCGGAATATTTGACACACTTATTCTCCAAAGAAATTCTCACTCAGCACTTTGCAACCCCCAATGGACAGTCTTTTATATAGCCTGGAGGCAGTGATGAGGAGCCCTGGTGGTACAGTGGGTTAAGCGCTGGACTTCTAATCATATAGTCGGCAGTGGTTCAAACCCACCAGCTGCTCCTTGGGAGAAAGAGGGGCTGGCTGTTCTTGTGAAAAATTTACAGTCTTGGAAATCTTGAGGGCTGGTTCTACTCCGACGTATAAGGTCGCTGTGGCTTGGAATTGACGCAGGCTTTGGGTTTTTGGAGGTGGTGATGAGCTGAGGTTGGCAGAGCCAGCTTCACAGACTGCAGCATGCCCGGTGTGTGAGGCTGGTCAAGCCTTCACTTGGAGGGTGTTAGGCATCTGTAGGTTTGTTCTCCACCTTCGGGACCTCAGCTAAAATACTGTGAGTGGACAAGTCCCACTTTAGCATCCTGTTGAACAGCCAAGAAAAGTGGGTGTGTAAGTGTTTGTGGATATGTGCACAGACACTAGATTTGCACTCCTTTGGCCCTACCATGGATCCCACTAGGCCATTTGCTGTAAAGAGTGCTTCTGGTGCTGATGTCCCCCTACCCCCACATACACACATGTGCTGGTTGCTTCCATAGGTGGATCCATGAGTCCAAAGGCTTGGGTTTTTTTCCTGTCTCAGCTGTGGGTACCTCTCTGGCTGACTGTTGGCTCCTCTCCCGAAGTCACAAATCACTTTTGGTTCCTGCCCTGGGTGCACAAAGCCGTATACCCGCCCTCTCCCATCTCCAGGGAGAAAGTGGTTTGCAAGAATGTTCATGAAATATGAGTGAGATGTTTTTTTTTTTTACAAAAGAGAAATTAATGTAACAAGATTTTTCAGATTTAGAGCAGGATTTTGGAAATTCAAGAAGTGTTTTGTTGTGTTTTTCTGTCAACGGTGTATCTTAAAACTTCATGCCCGCTGCTACCAATTAATTCATAATTTTTCCATTTGCTGATTAAGTTGCTCAGTGTCAGCAGATTGAAGTTTTGTGAAGTCATGTAGTTTGGTTTTGAAAGGAAATAGTGCAAACCCGATCAAGCAGCAAATGTTTTAACAATGTATGTAAAGTGAAAAAAACAAAAAACAAGCCAGATTTATTCCCTCTGTGAAATTTGGTTTGACATTCTCTAGTCATTACTTTTGGACTTTCACAAAACAGTATCACAATGTATTTGTAAGAAAAAAAAAAATCAGAACTGTAAGAATGTGAAATTTTTACCATGGATCCCACAGTACTTTTGCAGGCACTTTTTTTTTTTTCTTTCTTTTAAAGAACTTTTTGCTGTAAATTGAGTGAAGATATACGGAACAGATCATCAGTTTTATATTGAGCAAATCCCATACTTTGCTTCATTACAATGACTGCAATCCCCTGTATGTACACTCTTGCATTCCTCCCTGTGTCTACTTTGCAGGCACTGTTTATTGTTGGGACGGTTCTCTACTGCCGTTCTTTGTTTCAAAGTCTCTCTCTTTGACTCTGTGACTTTCTGGAAGACAGACACTTAGTTTTATCAACTTGTGACCACACCACAGCACATTGTTTGCACTTAATAAATATCCATTGAATGAATCAACCAAAGAAATACTAACTGGAGGCAGACTGAGCGCAATTGAAAATTGGGTACGTTCTAGTGACACTTAACATTTCTCTTCTTTATTATCTTGGTCAGAAGTCCCTGGTGGCACAAATAGTAAAGTATTCAACAAGTTACTGAAAAGTTAGTGGTTCAAACCCACTCAGAGGTGGCTGGGAAGACATGCCTGGCAATGTGCTTTTTGCACAGTGTGCAGGACACATGTGGCCACATGTGGAGTCATAGGAGACTAGTATGGGGCTTCTGGGACTGCAGAGTGCTCCTTCACAGAGCAATTGGGGTAGTGACTTGCCCAGAGGCACGTAGTCAGTAGCACAGAGCTGTGAGCTGAGCAGAGCAGCCTTCCCAGCGAGGTGAGCCAGGTTTGGGGGTGAGCGAGCTCGTGTTCCCCTGACGCTGGCCTTGTGTTAGTTACAGGACTCTGATCAGACCCACGTACAGAGTGTCCTACCGCACGGTGACGGCGCTGGAGTGGAAATGCTGCCCTGGTTTCACCGGGAGCAACTGTGACGAGGGTAAGTCCAAGGGCCCGGGGAAGGGCCTAACCACGCCGCTTCCTCCCTCACCTCCTCCTGCAAGCAAGTCTTTTTTCCTCCACTCTGCTCAGCACCTTTGAGCTCTTTCCTTTCCCCAAAGGACTCCCAGTCAGATGTTCTGGAGTGGCTCCTGAGCCTGCTCCTTCAGGAGGTTGGAGGTGCCGGCAGAGCCTCACAGCTGGGGCAGCGCTGGAGTGGAGGTGTTGCCCTGAATCCTGAGGAACAGATCTGCAGCCTGCTTTGTTCTCCTAGGAACCCTGGTGGTGCTATTGGTTAGGCATGGGGTTGCTAACCGAAAGGTTGGCAGTTCAAAACCACCATCAGCAGCTCCTGGGGACACAGTCTCAGAAACCCTACGTGGGGTAGCCATGAATCCACTTAGCAGTAGTGGGTTTGGTTTGGGCTTCTGGTCTGTCTTGAAGCTCAGAAGTCATTTTGGATTCACACACATGATCTCTCCTCAACTTTGATTTTCTAAAAAATAGTGATTCATCTTTTAAAAACAATTGCCTGACTTACTGCTTTTTCATCTTATTGTGTATATATTGTTGTTGGGTGTTGTTGATTTTTAATTCAGAGCCCCCACATGTGGTAGAAGGGTGCTGGTGTGACACTGCTGGGTAATGCATGGGACCGCAAGGCTGATTTGAACCCAAAGTCAGCAGTTGACACTCACCTGTTGCTCCTTTATAGGGGCGCTGTGATTTGGAGCAACAACACGTGGTAGAGTAGAACTGTCTCATAGGACTTTCTAGTCGAAGATACAAATTTTACAGAAGCAGATTGCCAGCCTTTCTCCTGCATGTATATTAATATTCTAATAAATATATATAACTTATATGTTAATGCTATGTATAATTTATATTATACGAGTGGGCTTCAAAATTGATAATATACGAGTGGGAAAATTCCCCGATCTTTTCATTCTATTTTTTCCACCAACTTTTTGAAGCCCTCCCTCTTGAATAGTTTTATTGTAAGCTACATAAAGTTCTCTTTGGGCTATAAGCAATAAAATAATAATAGCAGAAATAGCAATGAAAACAAATGGTGATTCTTTCATGGTCCTGTGAGCTCAAGGCAGAGTGACAAGGAGAGGCTGGGATATAAAATACCTATGTAGCCTTTCCTGTTTTACAAGGTACCAAATAATGGGGAAGGGAGAGCAACATGTGGTTTGGACCATGCTTGTTTGGGGGAGCAGGACCGATCTGAACCCTTATTTGGAAGGGTAGGGGATGTGAAAGGAGGCTGGGTTCCCCCAGGTAGAGGTGTGATTGGAAAGACCCAGTGGACTTGGTGTGTGAATGAGCATGCCTCACACCAGACCCCTCACTGAGGTTTGGGACCCTCCAAGTCATCAGATTGGAATCTGCTCTTCCTGTAAGTGCCAGGGCCAGGGGGAGGCATCTGGTCTCTCCCAAAAACAAAACTGGGCCGACAACAGCATGTTGTTGTTCTGAATCTGCTGTCTAGATTCTGCAAAGGAAGTGATTGATCAACCCAGAGGGGATGGACTGGACCCTTGTCAATGATCAAAAAAGGAGCAACGTTGGGATTACCCGTTTTGTGCTTAGGCGACCATCTTGTCCTTGTCGCTAGAAGTCTTTCCTTAGCAGACCCTTCTCTCAGTCCTACAGCCAACCCCATCATTGCCTCAGCTTACCTGCCTGCCTCCTCCCACAGCCCTTACTGTCCTGTCTGGTTCTTCCGAGAGTAACTGGGCCTGGCCCCAAAAAGGATTCCCTCCTCCATTCCTGAAAACCGCTGTGGTGATTGAACATTATTTTTCATACCTCTTCATGCTCTTTTGATTGAAGAAATGAACCAATCCAAGAAGTGTAGCACTAAAAATATTGAAGTCAGAATTCTCCTACAAACAGATAGGTTGTTGTTGTTGTTAAGTGCCGTCAAGTTGGTTCTGACCCCTAGCGACCCTGTATAGGGCTTCTAAGGAGCAGCTGGTGAACTTGAACTGCTGACCTTGCAGTTCAAATAGCTTTGCAGTCTGGTGCATTAACCCACAGCGCAGTAGATAGGTAGCACATATTTTATGTACCTCAGTGAAAGTGGGAACCAGAAGAATGACAAAGTGGATTTAACAGAAGATAAAAGAAATTGATGTACACACACCTTCCCCCTCCAACACACATACATGTACACAATTTGAAAATTCCTAGTATTACCCTGGTGTGACACTGTGGGAAAATGCACGGGACCACAAGGTCCTTTGAATTGCAAGGTTGATGGTTCAAACTCACCGGCTGCTCCTGGAAAACGCTACACAGGGTCGCTATGAGTCAGAACTGACTTGACGGCACTTAGCAACAACAACAACAAGCCCACCCTCAAATTTGAGAATTTTCTAGAAGAGCTCAAAGAACTCACAGAAAGCAGGTATACGCACGGTTATGGTTTATTACAGTGAAAGGCTAAACGCAGTCAAGGGAAGAGGCAGCTGCCACAGAGTCCAGGAGAATCCCAAGCACAGAGCTTCAGTTGTCCTCTCCCAATGGACAGCATTAACTTCTTCCAGCAGCAATCTATGACAACACACACGGACTATGGCCAACCAGGAGAGCTCACCCAGCCAGAGTTTGATTAAGGCTTGATCCTGTCCATGTGGTTGATTGCTTGGGAAGCTGGTCTCAGTCTACAACTTCCCATCACAGGTTGAGCTGGGCCATGTGGCCCCAAACCTCCAGGATAAAAATTGCATTTCTACTACAGTCTGCTTGGTGTGGCCCAGTTCCCCCAGATGAACAGAGACATTCTTATTAGACAGCACATCCCCAGGGTTTAGAGATTACCTTCTGTGAGCTGAGAGTAAAGGTCAGACTTTCTTTATGGGTGAAGTGAATGCTTTACCACAGGACTGATAAACTGATTGATTGATAGATGGTGGTGTGCCATGGAGTTGGTTATGACTCATAGCAACCCTGTATAGGAGATAACAGGAAGTCTCATCTTTCTTCTATGGAACTGATAGCAGATTTGAACTGCTGACCTTGAGGTTAGCAGCCCGACTCGTAACCACTATGCCGCCAGAGCTCCTTTGATTGCTAAATGTTGTTGTTGTTAGGTGCCATCAAATCAGTACTGACCCATAGAGACCCTATGCACAGCAGAACGAAACACTGCCTGATCCTGGGCCAACCTTACTATTGTTGCCATGCTTGAGTCCATCGATACTGCCACCTGGCCAATCCATCTTGTTGGGGGTCTTCCTTTTTTTTCTCTGACCCTCCACCTTACCAAACATGATATCCTTCTCCAGTGACTGGTCCCTCCTGACAATATGTCCAAAGTATGAGAGATGAAGTTTGGCCATCCTGACCTCCAAGGAGCACTCTGGCTGCACTTCTTCCAACAGACTGATAGACATAAGCAAATAGAGATAGAGACTGAGATAGAAAGAAGATAGATAGAGACAGATATGGGTAGTTCTAGATATTGTTGTTAAGTGCTGTCGAGTAGGTTCCAACACATAGCGACCCTGTATAGTGTTTCTGAGAAGCCATTGGTGCATTTGAACCACCGACCTTGCAGTCCACAGCACCACACCAGGACTCCTTGTTAAGTGCCATAGAATCGGTCCCAACCCATAGCAACCCTGTATAGGGTTTCCGAGGAGCAATTGGTGTGTTTGAACAGCCAACCTTGCGGTTCAAATTGACCTATGGCCCAGCGCATTATCCTGCAGCACTACGTATAGATAAGTTCCTGGACTAGAACCACTGTAGATCCTACAGGCTAATAACCTTTGGGCTTTACCTTTCTACTGAATAGAAATAATTTGTATTTACCAGTTTTGTATAGATTACCATCCAACTTTGCAGAAACAGGCTCCTAATTAAATGATTATTCACTCAAGGTGACATTCTCCTCAGGTGTCAGATGACACTTAGGTGAACTCATTAGATGGTGCTCTGGCATGGCATTACAAAGTTAGGCAATCACCTTTTTGCCCCACTTCCAAGTGTTGGCTAATTCTTCTTTCAGACTGAATGAATGGAATGCAGACATTTACTCACGGTGGCCAGCAGATTGTGGAAGACCAGTCATGACTGCCCTTGAAGTTCTGCCCATCAGGAGAGGAATAGGTTCAAGCAGGGCTGTGGGTCCACCCTCCTCAGTTGGTAGAAGCAGCTCTTAGAGAAGGGGCCCAGGTGGCAAGCTCCTAGGGTCAGCTCTTAGGACTTGTCACTTGACCTCTTACCTGAGAAACCACATCCACATCTATTAAACGAAGGTGCACAGAGCAGATCATCAGTTTTACATTCAGCAAAGCCTATGCTTCATTCCATCTCAGTGGCTGCAATCCTCTCAATGTAACATCACTTAGCCTAGTTCCTCCCTGCGCTTCTTGTATCCATTCCTCCTTTATTCCCAGCCCTTCTGAACTTAGCTCTTGGGTATATGCTCCCTTCTGATCTCAAATGGCTGACCATTCTGTGGTGCACAAACCTCACTAGTATTATTTCTTCCTCTATATCCCTATCTATGACTTAGCTGAAAATTGAGTCACAGGGGTGAGTTCGGTTACAGAGCTGAAGGGTGACCAAGGGCCATAGTCTTGGGGTTCCACCAACTTCTGTCTGACTAGTAAGCTGATCATTTTTATGATTTTGAGTTTTGTTCCACATCCAGGACCCTTTCAAAGCAGTTGGTAGTGGGGTATCATCTAGTTCTTCAGGTCTCAGAGTCATGGAGATGGATGTTCCAGGGACCCATTGGTCCATGGGACTATTTGTTTCCATGCCTTCAGTTTTCATCACTCTTCTTTCCGCTGGACAGAGAGAGACCAATAGCTGCACCTTAGACAGCCATTCATGAGCTTTTAAGATCCCAGTGAAGTATGCACAATGAAGGATGCACAATGCTCTTTGTGGACTATGTTATGCCGATTGACCATGGTGTCCCCTGAGACTTCTGTCCTGAGGCCTTAGGCCCAGAAAATCATTCCCTCAAGGTGTCTG